ATCATTGAGGGGAATGGACTTAGACTCGTAAGGGAGTCACCTCCAAGAGTAATCCAATTTTTATAATTGGAGATTTTGAGAAAAAGATTTAATGTGACGGAACAATTTGCACTGCATGACTTGTAATAACACTATATTATTTGTGATCATTCTTATGATGATAGTGCTAATTATTGTGATGTTAGGAAGGTTTTTAATCATGAATGAGTAGTAAGGTGAAAATTACCACGATAGCATGTACCTTTGGAAGATTCATCTATCTAAATTTTGAAGAGAACAAGGTCGGAATTTCCATGAGGTACGGGTCACTCGTATTTTTTGAGGATTTACCTATTTTAAGAGTTGCCATGAGGTTGTGGTATATTATTGAACTATTTTCTAGAGACTCAACTAGAATCGAGATAGAGCATATGACCATTGATAGTACTATTCGCTATGAACAGAGAACAAATCGAAACTGTATGGGGCAATTGAAATTTAGCCTAAAGTTCCTAATAAAATGCTTGCTCCATTGTTCACTTTAGATTACAAATGTCGAACCCACGGGAATAGATATTTAATTTCTATCGAGTACTATAATTGTATAGCTCTTATTTTATCTAGATGAAAGAAATTTGGAATCAATGGTTTTAAATAAGTTAATGTTATGAATGTGGTGATAAATTCAACAATCAAATGCAAGTTAGAAGAATGGTCAAGATGAGAAAGTCTAGAGTTATGATTTTACCTAGCTATCAAATATGATTTTCAAAAACTTGGTTATCTCTAATCAATTTTCCATATTTATATGGAAGAACTATAATTAAATTTTACTCCCTCTATCGAGTGCCGAGTAAAAACTATTCCTACAATTCAATTCCAATATTTCTATGCCAAATTAAAATCAAAGATTTATGAAGTTCATGATTCTTATGTGGAACAAGTTTCAAATGAATTATACTCTCTCTTGAAACCTATAAATCCTAGGTTATGGTATTGTTGTGATGAAGCCTTAATTCCCATCTCTCAAGTGTTGAAATTGATTAGCATCTAATCATTCAATTAGTGGTCCACTAATTGAAAGCATTAAATCAATAACACAAATAAACGAAATATGAAAATTTCATAGAAATAACTAAAATAAAATCATATCCTCAAATTTTGGTTAATCAAACCTAAGAAAAATTATTTACTTCATGATATGAGACATGAAATCTATACAATTCATAAAGAATAACATGAAGAGGAGAAAAATAAAACTATTTTTTGGATGGTTGAATCAATCTTCTAAGCCAAGTTGCCTTTGCCTCCTTGATTTCTTGAATCTTGTCCCATTGAATTGTTGCTGTTGACTCGATGAGTTTCCCTTGAAAAATAGTCTTTAGGGTTGTATTTGTATCATCGTGATGTTTTAGAAGCGTTAGTGTTGGATTAGGATTTAAAAAGAGACCAAAATATTCAAAACCCTTTTCTTGCCCAAAAGTGTCGGGGCGCCACAAGCATGGCTCTATAGCACGCAATGCTATTGATATTTAGTAATAGTGGCGTGGCGACGCCCACGTTTGAGTAAAAATTTAGTACTGTGCATCATTCCGTATTTTTATTATAACTTTTTTTCCTGACATCGGATTAAGGTAATTCAAAGTGCATCAAAAAGATAACTCAAAGGATTACAATTTTACTTGAAATAACCTTCTCCGATACGATCGTTTACCATATAAAAAATGAGTCTTAATCTCCGGCTAAAAATCTCGAACATACTTGTACGATAGAAAATTGATTTCCGAAAATATTTTTAATCATATTTCACTCCTTTTTTTACTCTAATTGCATTTGGTTGACTCCTAGTAATATTCGATTATTGCTTTGTGGTCTGAACCAACTATTAAAAGTTGCAATCGAGTTTTTAAACTTTGGATTTTACCCTTTTTTCGTCATTATTCATTTCTTTCTTTCAATTTAATCCCGAATCATCAAGTTTCATCAAACCAATGTCAACTTCCCCTTGGTTCATGCCAAAATCATTATTTTCTCCAAATTTCGCATCATTCACATCAATATATCTAACCTATAAAACAATACAAAAACACAAATCAAAACGTTCTAAAACTATAAGAATCAAACGAAAATCAAGATTTAATAACATTAATATGATGACTGAAACACACTCATCACATAGGTATCAAGCCAACTTAGATTCCCCAAATGAATGCGTTTCTTTTGTTTACAGTAGAAGTACATGAAACATAATAATTAATTCAATTTCAAGGGCCACTCACCGAGCTCAACATTGATTTATTTAGCATTTGGATTTGTCTGATCGATGGTAGCTGATTGTGTTGACACATCAAAATGCATGTTATGGCAACTGTAAATTGTTTCTTCAAGTCGATGAAGGCTGCACAGTGCCGGCGACGGAACTTGCATGGAAGTGATTTTCCTTGAAGAAAATTCAAAGTGAATTTTTTATATTCATTATGTACGATAAAATGTTTAATACCAAATACTAGTACAAAGTGATAAAGTGTTCGTGTAGAAGTAATTTTTTTGGAGAATGTCTTGTTAAAAATAAGGAAAAATACGAAGAATGTGAAAAATAACTTTTAAAAGTATGTAATTAAAAATGAGTGACACAAGCACAAGATCATCATCCCTCGCAAGTCTATATAATACTTGATATTATATATTTGATTAAGACATTTTAAAACTTGGTTAATGTGACATTGAAAGGTGAAGAAGTAGAGGTCATATTGTGCTAACACAAATTACGGTCGATAGTCACATAATGTTAGAGCATCTTCAATATTAATGTGGGAATTGCACTAAAAAAGTAATTACACAAGTTAAATTAGACAATATATATAAAAAAATTTCTTCAACACAATATGTCGAGGATTACTTTTAGCTGACTTGACAAGAAAAAATTAGACATTTGAAATCTTTCTCTTTCATATCTTATTTTTTCGTGTCTCTCTCCCCTATTAAATATACGTTGAGATTAAAATTAAATTATAGACGGGACTGATTGTAGATGAAATTTGACCAAAGCCGTTTTTTATTAAACATTAATATCATAATCAAAAGAATTTTCTATTTAAAATTTACCGCAATCACGATCCATGAAATGCATCGAATATGTTGTTAGGATATGTACAAGGGGAGAAAGGTGAGGGGCCAAATTTATGGTATCAAGGCAGATTGCACGCCACAAACGGCGGAGAGAATGGACCGTTGGGACATCATATTCATCTGCACACAATGTTGAATAATTTTTTGCTTTTGGTCCCACTTCGGTGACTTCATGATGTGTGCTTTTCCCAGTTTCACTTTTCCACATTTGTTCATAATTGCAATTTTCAGGCCAACTAAACTGTTCCATTATTCTATACTTCTTTCTGTGCCACAAAGTTGGCACCTTTATTACAATGAAACAAAATACTTGCGACTTTTACTTTTTACTCTTTTTTTTTTTCCTATGGTTACCTATGATTGTTTCAGTATGAAATGAATCTTGGATAGGTTATTCTTTGTTTAAGTTAATGAATTCTCTAAAAATACTATGTATCATAATTCATAATCCGACAAAAATAAAACAGTGAATAAAAAGAATCACTTTAATCTTTAAGGAACCAAACCACATTAATTAGTCATGCTTCTTACCATCCAGTTGTGCACTAATAAGAGTATCTTCAAAAGATTCTTTATTTTTCAAATCATATCTTTAAATTTAAAGAGTAAATTCTTTATAAAGTCCAACAAACTCTTTATTTTACATTTTTCAAAAAAGAATTACTTTTTTTCCTCATTTTCAATTAATATTATATATCTTTTAAGATGTCAATGACCTATGGTTTGAATAATCCAAGTAGTGGAGCATTGGAATTTAAACCATTTTAAATTCAATGATTATAAAGTCCACATAAAGAGATAATGGCTCTTCAAATTTGGTGAATCAATTGAATTTAATTTCAAGGATTGAGCAAAGCAAAGGCAAGGGAGAGGCGAAACCAATTACCAGGGTGTGACGGGCAGTGTGTACAGGGCCCAGTTACATATTCACCTCAATAGCAAAAGGTAAAATTTTAAATATAGAGCGTCTCTTGAAAATACTCCAATCTAGGAAAAAAACCCTTAAGTTTAAATACTACACAAAGCTTAAATTACAAACTTTTATATTTTTTTAAAGAAATAACATATCTTAAAATGCGGATGTTAGTTTCTTTATCGTTGTTGGAGAGTCGAATAATCTAGGTATGTTTTTGACCATCCTAATCAAACGACATTCCGAAGCACATAGGGAATTGGGCGGGCGTCAATTTCTCATTGGAAAGAAATCGAATGAGTATTTCTTGTGTCCTGTTACTGGTGACACGTAGTGAGGCCTAATCGACTCTCCAAATCTCACTCTTGTAGAAAAAATATCAAGAAACAACTATAGAAGAAAAAGGCAATGATCTAGTCACATTATAAAACTATTCTGCCCATTTTTTTTGTCCAGAAACTACTAAGCCCACTTGTACCTGTCATGGTTCATTATGTCTATCATCTGGTTCCCTATGGGCCAGGGCTTCTTTTATTTTATTTCCAAGCCCAAGCAAGCAAATGCACACTAACTAATTGAAATTAGAATAATAATTATTAAAAATAAGCCTTGATTTCAAAATTATCAGTTGAGTAGTTGATCTTCTTCTCAACAATCTTCATAGGAATGACAAAATTTTCCATCATTGACCTGCCAAGATTGCCCCACCCTAAAATGTTAAACGAGGCGGGGAATATGATCTCCGACCCGAATTCCCCGAACCCGTGCAGAACCATTTTATTTTAATTTCTTTTTTTATACTTGTCAATTTATATCATATTTAAAATATCGAAAGTGATCTCCTAAACACTGTGACATATTACACCATTTAATTAGTGAATAAGTTAATGATATTCACCAATTAAATGATGTGTCATTTCACCAATGTTTAGGAAATCATTCATATATATATATAGAGAGAGAGAGAGAGAGAGGGCAGTAAATGGAATAGGCAATCTTTTAAAATGAAGGGAAGCCCATTACACTCCCAGGTAGACACCATTACCATGTAAGGATCTTGTCGCCTATCTCTCACGTTAAAAGTGCCCAACAATTTACCACCATCCAACAAGCACAGAATTGGTTTTAAATTCCTAGAAATACTCCAAGAGTCTCAGACTACTGCACAGTTCCAAGGCCTATTAACAAGTTTTAGCAATCTGTACAAAGAAACTAGCCTTAACACTCCTTAAATACGAATATCTAAGTATACCCGCCACTAAATATCACCAGCATGAACATTTCATTGAGCACAAGCACGAGCACAAGTTGCACCGACATGAACATCTCATGCAGCTAGGCTTGAAACATGAGAGGCAATTCGGACGACATTCTGGATATTTTGGACATTTTGGCCACTGGCAGCACTTCTTGCCACTCGGATTGTAACATTCTAAGCATTTGGGTCGTTTGAGTTTAATGCTACAACACTTGCTGGAAGAACACTTTGACCTTTTCTGCAGACGGAGAGTCTCCCGGATTTTTCTGAGTCGAGTTTCAGTAGTCATTTTCTCCATTTCTTGGACAAACTTGCAAAGATGGCGGATGTAATCCGGGTAAAGCTCCAAATTGCAGTGCCCACCTCCCTTAATCCACAAGGGTTCGAACGGTTCCCTAGCCAACTTCCATAATCCATTACCATGTAACCAATTCACCACATCATCATCCGTCCCCTGTATAAAACAAGCCAATGCTCGTTATATTTAAAGCAATGCAACATCTAAATTTTTTTAATAGACATCCACCAAAGAGTTCTGCAAAAACATTTAAATCACTTGGTGGAACAATATAGGATATTAACAAAGTTTTAAGGATACAAGACAAATAATCTTCAAAGCGTTTGACCAAATATATGAACAAAAATAGCTTGTTTAGCTAAAAAAGATAAAAATCTAAGTCAAAATCAACAATCAATTTTACCACACATTTCATGGGACCCACAACTTTTTATTAACTTTTCAACCACACTGTTTATCAATTTTTATCAAAATCTGATTTTCAGCAAAACCAAACAAGGGCTTAATTTTTTATTTAGAATTACTAGTTCAAAATGTAGCAACGTGCCTGGCATTTTAAGAACACTTTTAAATGTATGCCTAGCAAACTTCTGATATTTTTACACTGAAGGAAAAGGGAAAAAGTAGCTAAAAATGAAATGTCACATCAAATAGAGAGCATCTAAAATCAAACAAAGTCTATTGACTCAAACTTTAAAATTTTTGAGCAACAAAGAACTTGCATACAGAAATCACGTATGGTTGGTCCCTCAAGAGTAATACGGAGGGAAGGATGTATAGATTTAGACATAGATGCACGTCTTTCAAAATGTTTTTGCTAACGATAACAATGCAACTAAAAGAGTGTGCAAGAGAGAGCAGCATGTAGTGCAATGGATAAAAGATCAAATTTACATTAGCCATTAGCAACATACCAGAGTTTTCTATAATAACATATGGAAAAGTGAGTTGTTGTTATTATTATTATTTTATTTATTTATTTTTAACTATATATTCTCCAAAAAATGAGATTCAAATTAAAAGCTCGACCTAAAACTTAATGGGCCATTTGAAGTGATAATTAGTTGAATTAGTTTAGTTGCTCATGGTCCCAGATGTTAAAAGAGTCTTTAACCCATTTGTGTGGTTGCCTTAATTCTTTACATTTATATGAAAGTGTGGCAATAACGGAAAGGAAGTAGCCGTTTTTCTTTCTCCTTTGTGAGCAGCCATTTCATTATCGTTGTGGGATATTTCTCTATGTGGCTTTGAGAATGCTCTTTTGTGAGCAACTAATCGGAGCATTTAGTGGGATTTAGGTTTTGAGTTTGTCAACTGGAGTAACATTGTGATGTGGGTTTAGAAGCCAAGAACAACAGTGCCTTGATCCGATACCAATTGTTGTGTAATTTACACCACTAAGAGCTCTAGGATGTGCAAAATACAACACCTGAATAACCACAAAGATTTAGGGCTCAGTTTAAACGTACACCACAAGGTTATTCCAGTCAACAAGCTCAAACCCTAAACCCTACTAAATGCGGGCCAAGAGGAGTTGCTCACGGTAACGCTTTCTCAAAACCACAAAGAGAATATAGTTGGTTGCTCACAAAGAGGAGAAAGAAAAATGGGTGCTTCCTTTCTTTCTTGCCACACTTAAGTTACAAAATGAAAAGACAACACATATAAAGATAAGGAGATAGTTGACACAACAAATGGGCCAAACAAATGTGTAAATCAGTAAGCATTTTAATGGGCCATCACTTAGTGAATGGACCATGAGCAACCATTCATTGAAATGTTGCTTCCAATGGCCCACGGGTCTCCCCTTGGGTTAATTCCTGTTTCAATCTTTGACCGAAGCCTATGAAAATGACCTTTAAACATTATTGCTCGTTTGAGGTTGTTTGGCAACAAATACCAAACTTAATCTAAATAATGAAACAATCTATTAAACCCAGTCCACCCTGCTACGTTAATTGCATTACCTTAAGGATGCCTAAATTGTTCAATGGAAAAAACAAAAACTCTCTTGAAATGTTAGAACATTAAGATGTAGTTTAATATATCTGGCTCGTGCAAGTCAACAAAAGAATTGATTTCCTAGAGAAGCGTTGAGAGAACAAATGGACACAAAGTATATTGAGGGAGGAAGAATAGTCAGTTTATACTCATTATCCATTGAAAATAAGAGAGAAAAATGGAGCATAAAATAGCTGACACTGCAAAAAGAGAAAACTAGAAGCACTAGTGCTGTTCATGAAAAGAGATCATAGACATGGGAGGACTAATAAATGCAGTCTTATATTTAAGCCAGATAGTGCTTGGATTTCAGATACATTGCAACTCAAAGATGAGCCATCTATTGATAAATGATAAAAAGATATTGTGGTTGGTAGATTTACTCTCTAGATTCACTTATGACACTTTCTTAATTCATGAATTTGTTGGTCCCTACAGATCCAAGCACTAAATTTATTTACCATGTGGTGCTATTTATAGTACAAAAGAGTTATAAACTGTATCAGACAGTAAAATAGAACCCTAATAATAAGCATGCCAAGTAAATTCAGGCTTTAAATAAATAACTATATATTTCTCTAAAACCTGGACAATCTTTTACACATCAGTTACACAAGGTGCTCTGTCTAACTACAACATAATGTAATATTATGCAAATTGGAAAGGAAAAGGAAAATCCCTCTGCAGTTATTGAGCTGTCTGCTAAATGAAAACAAAGGCTAGGTTTAAACAGCCATTACAATGCCATTTAAAGAAGAAATATAGAAGAAAAAAAGATCGTTGAAATTGTTGGCAAAACCAACATTGAATAACTTTCATGTCCTACCAGATCATTTCTTAAAAATCATCTAAACATGCATTTAGAAGAATACTAAAATCTTCTCAAACAAATAGATACAGTAGGATGACAATGTACAAGTCATAGATTAATAACCAAAAAGAAAATCTCGATACAAATGAGATTTTTTCATTCTTTTGAAAGGAAAAGGACTAGCATGCTTTCAGTTCTTCATAGAGAGTCAAAAAGCACACATAAATAACGTACCTCAAGGTTCTTACACAAAGATGAATACAAGAGAATCGTAGGTTATTTTAAATACCAAGTGTCTAGGAATACATTTACCAAGTTACTTATACAAAGAAGAAGTATAAAACAATTGTAGGAAAAATTTTATTCAAATGTCTAGAGCTGCCAGGAGAACTTACATGTATTACAAGCACCGGAGATTTCACCTTCCGAATTTTGTTTACATTCTGCACATTGACGCTGGATAGTTATTAGCTTTAAGTGATAGTAATGTAATCTACCATATTAGATTAAATTTAAAGGCCAGTTTTAATTAATTTCAATTAGGGACGGATTCAGGATTAGATCCAAGACAGGGCTACAAAATTTCGAGCCGAGCTAATACGCGAAAAAAATAAAAAAATTCACAGATAAAAACTGTTTTTACCTACAAAAAAAAAAAATTCTTGGGCCTTTGCCGGGGGGGGGGGGGGGGGGGGGGGGGGGGGGGGGGGGGGGGGGGGGGGGGGGGGGGGGGGGGGGGGGGGGGG